AGTTTTTAATTGCTGATATCAATTACACATGAGTTGTACTATATACCATAAAAAAATCTAGACGCCTAGACCCTCAGAAAGTGGTCAAACAGTCACTTCCGGTTTTATTTCAATCCAATATGGCTGCCAAACTAATTGACCAATCGAAATTCTGAAAGCATGTTGCACCAGTTCACATTAGGGACTATCAGTATAGAGCATTATCAGATCATTCCGTTCAGCGGTTTTCTCAAACGGCTTGACGAAAAAAGTTACGGAAGAAAGAAAGAAAGAAAGAAAGAAAGAAGAAAGAAAAAACCGGACAATAAGAATAGGGGCCATGCCTTACAGGCTTGGGCCCCTAAAAACGGACGATAATAATAGGGGCCTCGCCCTTCGGGCTTGGGCCCCTAAAAACGGACAATAAGAAGAGGGGCCACGCCCTACAGGCTTGGGCCCCAAATTATTCCAAGCAAAAATAAAGTATTTTACTGTACTCATTTGTTTGTCTGATTTGAACCTGAATAGTAAATTGCAGTGCTTAATGCTTAATGATGTCAAATATTTTAAACAAGTCAGAATCACCCTATGTCACCAGCATATTATCTCCATCACAAGAACCAATGGTAAAAGCATTCTAATACTGACAAAATGATCACCATTTACTACTGTAACAATACAACCATCATTTTCTTGTGACCCCTCACTTTTATGAGTCAACATCCCATATTGACTGGGAGTTGTAGGTATTTTCATTCATGAGCAGGCAACAACCTTACCAGTAATATAACAAGCTGGACATTTTCTCTGACAATCCTAATATGCAAGTAAAAAATTCATTAGGATTGTGCCCTCTATTGGTAATTTAAAAAAAATAAGATTATCACAAATCAATTGCAACCACACCAAAACACAAAAAATAAGTCATTGAAAATGACACAGTTCCTGTTAAATTTTTGAAAGTTCTCTTTGTGCTTGTCATATTAAAGTGAAGGGGTTGTCGCGAGCGTGTCCTTGAAACTTGAGTCCCAAGTGGTGTATACAAATGATTGTTTATTTGCAGCAAATTCGTACACGTGTTGCGTGATGACCCCACCGGTTTAAGACATAGCAAAGAAAAACATAGATCACAAGTGAAAGCATGTCCAAGTTATCACATTTTAAACAAACAAGATGGCCGCCAGTCAGTCATATTTGATCAAATGTACATGTATCCATTTATGACATACTAAATATTAATGAAAATGATATATGGGTAACAGATATATAGTAATATGGACAAAAATAAAAACTGCCATTATTCAGGCATCTTTGATCTGATTATGAAACAAAGTGACATGTATGATGTATGTGCCAAATATGAATGAAAATGGTACATAAATCTTGGAAATATAGTAGTAAGGCCACAAATTCAGATGGCTGTCAATAAGCCATCCTTGATCCGATTTTGAAACAAATTGACATGGACATGTATCCTAACATGTAATAAGGTATGTGCCAAATTTGAATAAAAACTGAAAAAGCATGTCCAAAATATAACATTTTCAAAAAACAAGATGGCTGCCAGTCAGCCATTTTGAATCAAATCGCTAAACTACTGTGGACAGAAGGATAGATGGAGACCGAGACTCCTCTCTGCATACAGCTTGCCGCAACGAGGCTGTGGAATATGCTGTACATGTATACCATTGTCATCAATATGTTCTGAACCAACCAAATTCTGAGATTTTGAGATATATTCTTTCCAAAGGAAGCCATCATGGTAAAATATGTAAAATAGAAATGGTTAACACATTTTTTTTTCTTGACTTAGAATTATTTTTGACATGGACATGTATCCTAACATGTAATAAGGTATGTGCCAAATTTGAATTAAAAAAGTGAAAAAACATGTCCAATATACCACATTTTCAAAAAACAAGATGGCTGCCAGTCGGCCATTTTGAATCGAATCGCTAAACCACTGCATGTGCATATGTACCACATAAAGTACTAGGCACATGTAAAGAATGAACAGAATCAGTCCAAAGGATTATGAAATATGACTCCGGACGGATGGACGCACGGACAGACGGACGGCCGCACAGACGTCGGAGAACATGTATCCTAACATGTATAATCTATGTACCAAATTTGAATGAAAACTGACAAAGCATGTCCAAAATACGACATTTTAAAAAAACAAGATGGCTGCCAGTCGGCCATTTTGAATCTAATCGCTAAACCACTGCATGTGCATATGTCCCACATAAAGTATTAGGCAGAAGAATGAACGGAATCGGTCCAAAGGATTCTGAAATATGACTCCAGACGGTCGCACGGACGGGGACCGAATTATAAGTCCCCGTTTTCGGTCTTCGTCCGAACGGGGACTAATAACAATGAAGACTTGTTCAACTTTTAAACTGTCTTCTTGAACTTGCATCAACATTTTATTCAGATACAGGTTCAATGAGTTGTGTTGGTGTAAATTAATCTTACCGTCTACTTTCTTTCTCTTCCCCACCAAATGCAGCCACTGTTCTAATTGCTGACAAAATTTCTTCTGCAACACCACCAGCTTTGGCGTAGGAATCCAACTCAGTACTTGTCATTGAAGAAAGAATCTGTGAATTCAACAAATTGTTAAAATGCCTCATGTAATTATAGGATAAAATGCATTTTTTGACAAGTGAGCATGTTTTGGTGCATCTGAATCATTTTAGTATTAGTCAACATTTTAAAATTCACTGTCAATCTTTTTTTAAAAATCCAAACTGAATTTTCTTTGTTCAGGCTTATGTATAGTAATAAACTAGTTTGGTCAAAAAGCAAGATTGCAGGCAGTCAACCATTTTTGATCCAATTGTGAAACTAATTGTCATGGACATGTATCCTAAAATGTTTAATTTGAAGAGAAAAACCCATGTCAATGATACATTTAGGAAAAACAAGATGGCTGCCAGTTGGTCATTTTGGATTTTAACACTCAACAAATCATCATTTGTTTGCATCAAATTTGAATGAAAACCAACAAATTCTGTCCAAGGTACTACATTTTCCAAAAAGCAAGATGGATTCCAGTCAGCCATCTTTGATCTCATTATTTAACAAACTGACATGGACATGTATTCCAATAAGTATGATGTATGTATCAAATATGAAAGAAAATGATCCATAAGCCTTGGAGATATAGTAGTATGGTAAAAAAAGGCAAGATGGCCACCAGTCGGCCATCTTTGATTCAATTGTAAAACAAATTGTCATGGACAAATAATCTAAAATGTATTTGTATGTACTAAATTTCAACAAAAACTGACGAAGTATGCATAAGATATCAGTACTACATTTTCAGAAGACAAATGGATGCCAGTCAGCCATCATGAATTGAATCAGTTAACCACTGCATGTACATATGTCCCAAATAAAGCACTAGGCACATGCTAAGAATGAACAGATTTCGTCCACAGGGTTTTGAAATATGACTGTGGACAGAAGGATAGATGGAGACCGAGACTCCTCTCTGTATACAGCTTGCCGCAACGAGGCTGTGGTGTATGTAGATAATGAACAAGTGAATATGCTGTACATGTATACCATTGTCATCAATATGTTCTGAACCAATCAAATTCTGAGATTTTGAGATACATTCTTTCCATCATGGTAAAATATGTAAAATAGACATGGTTAACACATTTTTTTTTTTTTACTTAGAATTATTATTGACATGGACATGTATCCTAACATGTAATAAGGTATGTGCCAAATTTGAATTAAAAAAGTGAAAAAACATGTCCAAGATACCACATTTTCATATATCCTATCCTATCCTATCCTATCCTATCCTATCCTACCAGTATATCATTCTGACTATAGCTATTAAGTAAATGATCTAATCTCAATAGGTAAATATCAATATGTGTACCTTCGTCATAAGACCAGCACATACTGCAAGTAGTGGACTCACAGCCAGGATGACCAGTGTTAATTTCCAACCATAAATAAAACCAACAATAAATCCCGCAAAAAACGCAGTCATAAACTGAACAAATGAACCCATCTTATCTCCAATTCCTGCTTTGATCTTGTTGATATCACTGCAAGGAAAATAGGGGTGATATAATTATGTTGTTGGTTGTTATTAGTTGTGTATAATTAGCTGGCCACAGATATGCAACACTATGGTCTAATTAATAGCAGTCATCTAGTAGGGTTCATAACAAGCTTTCATGTAAAGTTCATGCCATATTTGTACTTAGAATCACTAAATATCTACAACTGAAAACAATCCAACACATGCTGAAGTTTAATTCAGTATAGCACTGGTAAAAAGACACCCCCCCCCCCTCGAGTTACCAATAATTTATGACTGGTCTTGAATAAATAGACTTCATTTAAAGTCAGTACAGCACTGATTACTCCACTCTAGTTACCATATAGTAACATATAGCATTTAAGAAACATGCGCACAATACAACTAAAACAAACTTACTCTGATAGTCTTGTTGTAAGCTCACCGGATTCATGAGTGTCAAACCAACCAATTTCCTGTTTCAGAACAGCGGCAAAAAACACGGTTCGCATACGATTGCTCTGATGTTCTGATGTGGATACCAATGAAGCAATCTGAACGTAAGCAGCTACAAAAACTCCTGCGCCAATAGCTACGAAATATAATGTATTTCGGTTCATAGCCTCAAGAAACTCTTCTAATGCAGCTCTGTTTGCAAATGTAAAGTGAAAGAAAATAATAACTTGGTAGCATTTTTTTTAATTTCTCACAATTTTACTAATTAAACATAAGGAATAATCTGTATCTAAATTACATTTGGGCAGTACAAAAGTCCATGAAATGTAAAATTTTCAACAACAACAAAATGTGTATCATGGTAATTGGATCACATCAAAAATCAAATGGTAAAATACAAGTCTTAATCAAATACAGAAGCACAAATCACAATATAATAAAATAACTACCATATAAAAATCTAGCTACAAAATTGGGAAGAAGCTCCTTCAGTCACACTACAGAGGACAAAGCCATGACCCACCCACCCACAAGGTAGGTCAAGGGAAGGGGCTCCTTCAGTCACACTACAGAGGTCAAAGCCATGAGCCACCCACAAGGTAGGTCAAGGGAAGGGGCTCCTTCAGTCACACTACAGAGGACAAAGCCATGACCAACCACCAAGGTAGGTCAAGGTATTGACCTTGATGGGTCAAGGAGATCCTGCTGCGAAGCTGAGATAGATGGGAGGTGACCAAGAAGATGGTTGCTGAGCCCTGAAATGTGGGGCAGGATGGAGTCCATGAGCCCAAACCGAGGGAGGCATAAAGTTGTGATCGAAGGGACCCCCATAGGTATAACCTTTGTGAGCTGGTGATATGAAGAGTACTGGTATATAAACACAAGCACCCTCTTCTCTATAAATGTTATTATCAAAGCTGTAGGTAATAATTAACCAAACTGATTAAAATTCAATATAGTTATAGGCTCGAAAATATACACACTCGCGATTTTGACAACGCTCACATGAGTGTTTTAGGATAGTGGGAATAGATATACCAGTTACATCAGTCATGAAGATTGCTGATTCGATTGCTGGCTGGAATAGCTGTATTCAGTGTTCATTTCTAAGCAATATGTCTATACACTCGCGATTCTCAATTTCTATGTGTGGACGGCGACGGCTGACAGATTGTTGTAGTTCTGCAGCTTTCTTGGCACAGACAAGTGACTTTTAGGTTTCTTTTTCTACTATTCTGATGTTTACTTGGTCATATTTTGTATATACTAGTCATACACTGACAGTAAGTAAATGAGCAGAGACATAGTCAACATGAGTCTTTGAAGGCCCCATCTTACAACATTAATAAACGAAAATGACATTACAATCTCATGCTTTCGAACAATCTGATATTTATGCTGGAGAACAAAGTATACAAGTACTGTCTATACCTATTTAACTGTTGTTGATTTTTGTACAAAATTACAAGAGCACAAAACAAACAGCTGACAACAATCGACAGATATAAAACAAATGCATTATTAAGACAAGGAAAAATAGTTCTTTATGTCAAGGTTATATACTAAATTAATTTTATGGTATTTTAGTGAGTGTACATGTATGCATTAAAATATGTATACCCATCAAAATTATCAAAGCTTCAAATGTAATCATAGTACAAATGTAAAGACAATTATAGAGTGATTTGGGATTTGTTGGAAAAAAAATAGCCGTAATGCTGTGACATTGTCTAACTGGTGGTGGGAATCTGCAAGCTAGTTTATAAAAAATAGTGAATAAACAATTTCATAAATATTACTGACCGCGAAAAACACCTCTCGTGAAGTGTCTTGTATATCATATAAAAAAATAGTCATAAATAAACAAACATAACAATAAACAAATATAAAAAACAAAACAACAAATTGGAACCTATAACGTACATCAGATTTTAATCAGATTGGATAGTGACTTACTCTGCAATTGCTTCTGTGGATACATTTAGGAGAGATGTGAAATTAAAGTCTTTTGCTGATGATACAAATGTATCTGTCATATCACCAAACACAATAACCATGAGTGGAAAAGCTGATCCATGAAGCATTGCTGCTAACATACCAATGAATAACAATAAACCATCAAAGCAGTTCGCAAACCGAAACTGGAAAATAAAGTTATCATGAAGGATATATATATGGTCTAAAAAAAAACATTTCAGGAATATGTGAGACATTATTTCCAACATAAAACCGACAGATGGAAAATAAAGTAATATATGTAAATTGTTCTAAGATGTTTTTTTTCATTATAAAGGCATTATAAATAATATTCTAAAATGAATTGCAGTGTTTTAACAAAGTACATATGGGGCTAATTGGTCTTCTCATTCTAGGCTCAAATCACAACAAACACACACACACACACTGAAGTAAAAATGAAGAAATACTTCACATAAAATAAATACAAAGTGTATATCGAGAGACAGGATCCACATTAGAAATCATGTTTGATGCCTTCAATGCAATTTTTATCATTTTTATTTTGTTACATACTAAAAAAAAAATGAAATTTACACTAAAAGATTTCTTACTAGTTGCCGGAATCCAACCATCTTTACTTTAACATCTGTACCATCATTTTTATTCCTACAACATACAATGTATTACTGGTATGATTACCAAGAAATAGACATATGCAGTAGTTGATATGACTCACTAAAAGGAATACACATGCAGGTACAGTTGACTAAATTATGGTGGATATAACTAGATTGTGGTTAATATAGCTAGATTGTTCTTGGTATAACTAGATTGTGGTTGATATAACTAGTTTGCAGTTGGTAGAGATAGATTATGCTTGATATAACTAGACTGTAGCTGGTATGACTAGATAGTAGTGAATATAACTAGATTATGGTTGATATAACAAGATTGTGATAGATATAACTAGATTGTGGTTGATATAACTAGATGTCAGTTGATATAACTAGATGTCAGTTGATATAACTAGCTTGTGGTTGATATAACTAGATGTCAGTTGATATAACTAGATTGTGGTTGATATAACTAGATTGTGGTTGATATAAATAGAGTGTGGTTTATATAACTAGCTTGTGGTTGATATAACTAGCTTGTGGTTGATATAATTAGATGTCAGTTGATATAACTAGACTGTGGTTGATATAACTAGAGTCTGGTTTATATAACTAGCTTGTGGTTGATATAACTAGATGTCAGTTGATATAACTAGATTGTGGTTGATATAACTAGATTGTGGTTGATATAACTAGATTGTGGTTGATATAAATAGAGTGTGGTTTATATAACTAGCTTGTGGTTGATATAACTAGATGTCAGTTGATATAACTAGATGTCAGTTGATATAACTAGCTTGTGGTTGATATAACTAGATGTCAGTTGATATAACTAGCTTGTGGTTGATATAACTAGATGTCAGTTGATATAACTAGATTGTGGTTGATATAACTAGATTGTGGTTGATATAAATAGAGTGTGGTTTATATAACTAGCTTGTGGTTGATATAACTAGATGTCAGTTGATATAACTAGATGTCAGTTGATATAACTAGATTGTGGTTGATATAAATAGAGTGTGGTTTATATAACTAGCTTGTGGTTGATATAACTAGCTTGTGGTTGATATAACTAGATGTCAGTTGATATAACTAGATTGTGGTTGATATAACTAGATGTCAGTTGATATAACTAGATTGTGGTTGATATACATAGAGTGTGGTTTATATAATTAGCTTGTGGTTGATATAGCTAGATGTCAGTTGATATAACTAGATTGTGGTTGATATAACTAGATTGTGGTTGATATAAATAGAGTGTGGTTTATATAACTAGCTTGTGGTTGATATAACTAGCTTGTGGTTGATATAACTAGATGTCAGTTG